GGTCACACAGCTCCAGTAAGTGGTAGACCCAGAACTGGACAGGGACTTCCACCTCCCCACCCAAGCCTTTGGTCCATCTACAATATTGCTCTAACATATCTGACTTCATTCTATCCCTGCAACAATCCCATGAACCAGAAATTTTAATAGCCCATTTTGCTAAGGGGAAACTAATACTCTGAGAATTTATGTAACTTGCCTAAGGTCACGCACCTAGCAAATGACAGATCCATTGGGACTTGCCTCCCAACTGCCCAGGGCTTCTCCCTGCATACCAGAACCTGAGGCTTCCTGTCAGCCTCTCCCTTCCGCTGAAAGCCCTCCAAAGACAGACCTCAAACCCTCCCTGCCCCAGCCCCAGCTCTCCTAGGAGTCATTCATTCCTTGTATTCAATCACTCCCTGGAACACTAAAAGGAAGAGAAAAGATAGAYGGCAATAAGAATTGTGTTCAACTATTTTACTTAAGTCATAATCATTCCTAATCTAAATTTGCTGGAATGTATTACACAACCTAATCATTCACATATATTGTGCAGCGGTTTCAATTTAGTGAAAAGTAAAAGCCATTCAGAAGGCAGAAATATGTTAAATGAACATCTCGCAGATTACAGTCCTTCAGTTAGATAAAGCACAGCCGGATCCTTTTGATTCTGGACTTGGTGCTGCCTGCTCTGGTTAGGGTGCATTTCCAGCTCTTCTTTCCTGCACAACTGAAGGCTAAAGACATTCAGAGCAAAACGGAAACTTTCCAGGCTATGGGGTTGAGGCAGAGAAGCACTAAGGGCTTGGGGACATGATGGCTCCATGACTCTCTGCTCCTGATTGGAAAGATGCCCAACCAGGTCTGCTAACTGCTTCTGCCATCTGACCACGGGCCTTTGCAAGTGCTGCATCTTCAGCGTGGAATATCTGAAGCCCCATCGTTATCTGCCCATCTCCCATCTGTCCTTCTGGCTTCAGCAGAGATGTCATGTCCCCCATGAGTGTTTTCTAAGAACTGCCATGTCTGATGAAGGGCTCCCCTGGGCATGGCCACGGTGCCCTGGCTCTCTCTTGTGAGAGCATTCATCTTACTGTACAGGTTGCACATCCCTTATCCAAAATGCTTGGGACCAGAAAGTGTTACAGATTCTTCATCTCTTTGGATTTGAGGTATTTGCATGTACATAATGAGATATCTAATGGATGGTTTCTCTATAAACACAATATTCACTTATGTTTCATGTTCCCCTTTACATTTAGCCAGAAGGTAATGTTATACAATATTTTTAGTGTGCCTACGTTTTGACTATGACAGGTCACATGAGGCCAGGTGTAGAATTTTCTACTTGTGGCATCAAATAGACATTCAGAAATTTTCAGATTTTGGATTTTTAGATTAGAGATGCTCAACCTGAATTATAATGGTCTGTTGACTTGCCTCTTTCACCAGACTATGAACTTCTATCAGGAACTCTCTTGTTTACAATTGTGTCCCTGAGCTTGGCCATAGTAGGTGCCCAATAAATGTTGACTGGCTGAATCAATAATGCTGAGACTTGGCCCACTGCACACTGCTCTGCCCTTCTCCCAGGATTCCTGGAGGCATACCAGCTTCAAGGCCTCCCTGTAAGCCCAGCCAGTATTGTCCTCATCAGTCTGAGTGGCTGCCAGTGAGTCCTCAGCAGATCTGAGACCAACAGAGGTAAAGCTGTGTCCTTGCTCCCAACCCAGTGCCTTCACTCTGCCACCCTGTAATAGCTGCTTCAACATGAGCAAGTGGCATGTCAAAGTCCTCACAGCCCAGAAATCATAACGAGACCTGATGTAATGTCATAAAAATAGGATTTGAAGTCAAAAGACTCAAGTTGGGCTTCCACTTCTGCTCTGTGTATTTTGTTGTTTTGAAAAAGTTCTCTGGTGAATCTCTTTGAGCCTGTTTTCGGGTTTCTAAGAGGGAGGGTAACTGTATTAGCTTTCTGTCACTGTGACAAAATACCTGAGATAAACAACTTAAAAGAGGAAAGGTCTATTTTGGCTCAGAGTCTCAGAGGTTTCAGTCCATGGTCAATTGGCTCCGTCATTGTGGGGACTGGGGTGAAACAGATCATCATCATGGTGAGGAGCTTATTGTGGAGCAAACTTGCTCAATTTATGGTTGCCAGAAAGCAGAGGAGGAAGAAGCCAGTGTCCTAGTATCCCCTCCAAGAACACACCCCCAAAGACCTAACTTCCTCCCACTAGGCTCCACCTCCCAATGGTTCCACCACTTCCTAGTAGCACCAAGCCTTTAACACATGGCCTGCAGTGGGTATTTAAGATCCAAAGCATAATGGTAATAATACCTGCTACCACTATCAAAGTGTTGTAATAAGGAACTGATGACAACCAAAGATGGCAGCAGGTTATATACCTCAAGGTGGCAGTGGCCAGGTGAGCAGAGAAGAATCATTCTCCAGCACCCTGCCCCCACAGCCAGGCATGGAGAGACGGCTCAGCAATACCTCCTGGTGAATGTCTAGCTCAAGTCAATTACCTAGTTACCCAGTTACTCCATAATGATGCAGACAGGGGAAATGGCTGCACTAAGCAATGTGATTCTTATTGACTTTGGCTCTGCATCCCTCATGAACAAGGACACGTGAAGAGCAGCCGCTGTCATCCGAGGTCCTCAGGTGCCTTTTCCAGGCCAAATGTCTCACTGTGTTTTCCCAAATGTGCACTGTAATCTGAGCTCATCGCTCACATCCCGTCGTCAGAAAGCAGCCACGTCTTGGGAGGGATCCTGCGGCTGAGTAATGCTCTCCAATAGAGAGTTTGTTTTTAAAGAGAGGAAGTAAAGAATAATGTTCCTGTTCCGAGCTGCTGAGGGAATTAGGAAGGCAGACGGCCATTACTCAGGTTGGAATCCTGCCAGAGCTTATGATATCATATTTATTTGCCAAGAAAAACACCTCCCTCATATCGCTCAGGCAGGGAAGGGAGCAGAAACCCAACGCCAATCACGTTTTGTTCGGTGGGTTTAAGGCGCACAGACGGAGTTTAATGATAACAACGGTCATTTATGTTTATAGAGTACCTTTTAGTGAGATGGACCCCCAGAGTTTGCCAAGCATTCTGGACAGATGAACAGACAGGCATGAAGGGCTAGGCACCGATCCCTTCCTCCCACAGTTCTTAGACGGGGCCTCCCTTGGGCCCTCTTTGACGTTTGGCATAAAGATGGAAATCAGGCAATTTTCCTATCCAGTCCTCTGCTTCCAAACACAGTTAAGAAAATAGTGGATGGAAACACATCCTGCTGGTAAAATTCCATGAACTATCTTGGAAATGGTTAATTCCTTTATGATACACCCTAGCAAGCTCTACCAATGAATTCCTAGTTGTCTGATATTTTATTAGATTGTGTTAAATGCCCATCACTGGGACTCTAGCTATTGATTGTGATCCATGTGTGGTAGAGATCTGACCTGCAATTTGAAGTGTGTCATGGTGGAGAATCTCTCCCCAAAATCTAAATAAAACTCTCCTCCTGCTTCACTGCAGCCCTGTCGGTCTGAGGGAGAGGGATGGGGAGCACCAACATCTCTTATCCTGAGCACCCTGGCATAGGAGGAGTAGAGATGAGCCCATGTGGAAAGTTTGGAAAGGCCAGCTATGCCACACACCACCTACCTTGACAGCCAGGTTGGGTACCACCCATTGAATTGGGCTGAGCCAGAGAAACATACACAAGATGAGTTTTGAGACCACTGGGGTCACATATCCAAAAAAAGAGGAAGGTGATCATCTGAGAATCCAGAAAAAAAGAGGAACAGCTCTGAGAAAAAGTGAACTTTGACAAATTCCAGGGACAGGCAAGAAAAGAAAGATAGGAATTGGCCACACCGTGTAGAGCTGTGCAGAATCTAGATCTGGCAGCAAAGAGATGAGAGCCCCAATCCCTTACTTCCAGAACCCCAACCTCCACACACCCTCCTAATAGCTGAATTGTGCTACCAGGTTCATGTTTATTGTCTGTTTTCCTTGCTCAAGCACACAGCCCAAGCCTGCAAGCATACACCGGTACCCTGACCACCGCCACCGTGTTGAATTTCTCAAATTTCACTCACGAGGACGGCTTTGTGGCAGATACATCATCTCATTTTCTTGGAGGTCCTGAGGGGCAGCCACCAGATTGTACACGCTGAATGTCAGCTACATTAAGCTAACACATTCACATCCTTGAAAAACCCTATTTACACATAATAAACATGGGGATAGATGCTGTGGAGGAAATAATATAGTATTGATTAAAACAATGTCCTGTAATGCCTTGTGAAAGGCAGCAGCCACCAGCGGCTTCATGGCTGCTCCAGACAGGCAGCCTCCCTACCTGGCAGCCTGAGGCCTGCCGTCAGCTGTCACTCTCCAAATTGAGAAGACAGGTGGTGATTCCACAGGCCACAGGAGCCTCTGTTGATGGAGCCCTCTCTGCGTGCCAGGCACTGTGCTTGTTCAGTTTGGTCCCATAGCAACATCTTGAGGTGAGTGGCATTACTGTTTCCATTTCACAAAGAAGGAAGTAGGCTCAGTGAGGACTCAGATGTCTTGCCCAGGGTGACACAATTAGTAAGTCCTGGAGCTGGGATAAACTTAGGTCTGTCTAACTCCAGAGCACATACAATACTGTACTCATCATGTTAGACACCTTTGTGTATTCAGTTTCTATCTAAATATGTAAATAGATGAAGAGGAAGAGAAGCTCTATGAGCTACACTGTGTATGTGGTGCTGGGGTCCGCGATGGGTTGTCATCTCTGGTTTGGTGGAGTTAGCCAAGAGGGGACTCTAAGCAGTTCAACCTTGGCTATAATCCCAGGCATCCTGAACCAGGAAGGACTGCAGTTTGGCAGACATGGAGTTTCCAGAGTCTCTAAAATGGAAAACCTCATTTTAGAAAGATAGCTTATTGCCCCAGAGCTGCAGGCAAGCCTAGAGCCAGGGCACCTTTTTCCCGGTAACTGCCCGATCTCTTCAGTTGGGAAGGAGACCAAACAGTCAACTGAGGACAGCAGGAGGGACCACAGATCGGGTGTATCAGATGGAGGAGGCTCCAGAAGCACACAAGAGTGTGGGCCCCGGCAGCAGGCTGACCATATCCAGGTAATTTTCCATGATGCCAGGTAACTAGTATGAGCTAGGGGACACAGAGGAGAGCCTGGCTGTCAAGAATAGATAGTGGTGTCCCCTGTCAGCCTTAAGCAGCTCTGTTCTGCTCTGCCATTGACTGATTGTGTGACTTTGGGCAAGTCGTTTAGGCTGAGCCTCACACCAAAATTAAGGATGATCCTGCTTCTTGTGTCCATGGTGTGAGGACTTAATAGGAAAACGTGCCGAGCTGCGACAAGCGGCTGGTTTGCTGCGCAATCCACATTCCATTAAAGTCAAATCGCCATCTTCCAACCTTCTGTGAAGACTGAGCGACCTTCCTCTTTCGTCTTACTGGGGCTTTAGACCTGCAGAGACCCCAGTCCTCTGCACTCAGCTCTCGCCCCTTCGCCACCTGACCCGGAGCTGCCTTCCCTGCCACGCGCCTGGATTTCGAAGGTAAATGGGCAGATTTTGCATCTGCTGAAATCCTTGCTTCACTGGGTTTCGCTTTCTTCCGCTATAGCGGAGGATTTCCACTAAACCCCCGAACCGTGTCTGGATTATTGCTTCCGGCAGCATCAGGGGAGTGCGTTCTGATACCAACTCGCAGAGGCAAAACACCAAAGGCAACAGCGCAAACCGGGGCTTAGCGAGGCGGCTGCCGCACCACCAGGCTGCCGCTGGCAAAATGCGAAACGAGGGCTGCCTAGCAAATAGCAGCCGGCAGCTGCAGGCAGGGAGCGAGGGAGCCGGCTCTGCTCTGACCCTGGCCAGCCAGGAGGACTGGCCCTATGCAGGACCCAATGAGACAGCAAAGAGACGCCCAGAGAGGTTCAAGGATTTGCTCAAGATCACTGAGTAAAGCCAGACCATTCCCACAGGCAGAATCAGGGTTAAGTCAAGGGGAGGAGCCTGCTTGGGGTTGGTGGGCCTGGTTTCCAAGCCCTTGGTCATTTAACTGTGTGACCTTGGGCAGTCTGCTTMAGTCCCAGGAGTCTCTGTTTACCCTCTGTGAAATGGAACTATAAATACCTGCCTCATAGGAACAGGGATGCATAAGGCCAGGTCTGGTCTCTTATGGGGACTCAGCAGGTGGACGATTCCTTTCCAGCACCCTCCTCTCGGCCCCTGAGGTTCTTTTCTCCCAGTCACTGGGACCCCAAGGCTCTCCATGCCAGGAACTTAGTCTCCCACTCTCTGCTTATACCTGATCCTTGCTCAAGAGGAGTCTCCTGCCTACTGTACAACAGCCTGATTGTAGATAAGTAATAACCATGGATTATATCATTGAAAATTGCTAGGAGAGTAGATTTGTTCTCAACACCCCTCCCCCCAAAAATTTATATGTGAGTATGTGAAGTAATGGAGACATTGATTTAGTTGTCCCTCAATGTATATATCTTGTAAATATATACAACTTCTGGCTAATAATTTTTAAAAATAAATGAAAGTCTTCAAAAACAAATATAACATGACCAGCTCTAAACCCTCAAACCATAGCAAAATTATTTTGATAACCTAATTAGTGAGTGGATGACCCAGCATTATCACTGAGCCTTGTCTCTAAGGTCATTGTCCTTCCTGTGCAAACTGTAAACTCTCATTGGAGTCACAGTCTGAGAAAGACTCTCAGACCTATTCAGGAGCTAGGGTATGGTGTATATATTAATATCTACCTAAAAAAAAGGATGCAGATCTTCACAGATTTATTTATTAGGAACATGCAAAGATTGATAGGAGGGACCACTGAAGGACAAGTGAAACTAAGTAACTATAAGGAAGAAGGAAGGGAGGGAGAGAGGGAAAGAAGGAGGGAGGGAGGAAGAGGAAGGAAGAAAGGATTGATTCTCCTGGTATAGGCAGGGTCAGGCAGAGGTTCCCTCAGAAGAGTCCACACCTGGTACTCCCTTCTTGGGCTCAGAAGGGCAGAACAGTCCTGGGCCACACATGGCCAAGTTTGTCCTGGGTACACAAAAATCATGCCACCTACCACAGGATACCCATGGGGAGGGCAATGAAGGAATGTCCCTGACACGGGGTTTGGCCTAGGTAAGCTGGAGACTCTCCATCATGAAGGAGGAGAAATTCCAGGCTCTACCCTGTGCAACAAAGTCCTCCACAGTGTGCCTGAACCTTTTTTTTTCCTAGAGACAAAGTGCCTGCCTTCCTGCCACATGCAGTACCTCCCTTTGCCCATTTCTACCCAAACCCTTGCTCAATCCATTCCTCCTGGCTGCAGTGCCACCCCCTCTGTAGCTGACATTCTCGGTGGCCCAGTCTATTCCCACCTTCTCCATGAAGACTTCCTGGCCAGACCAGCTCTGGTGGTTTGGGTTGCCCTTTGAATATGCATCATGTCTCCCCAACTAGGGTGGGGGACCCCGGAGAGGCTGAGATGGAATCCAGCGCATTTTTATTCTTTCAGTTTTTCTCTGCAACTGGCCCGTTTCAGCAAATAGATATTAAACTCCTATTGTGAACCAGGCACTGTGACAAGTATAGAAAGAYAACTTGGCTTCTGCTCTTAAAGATGTTACAACCCAAGGAGACAGACACACAAACAGATAAATGTAGCACAGTACTAGAGAGAGGCAGGGGGATTAAGGGGGCAGTGAGGAGGTTTGAGGACAATGGTGACCAGCAGTGGTAACTTGTAAGAACTGTCCAGATTCCAGGTACAAATCTGAATGTGGAGAATGACATAAATGCCACCCCACTTAGCAAGCTGCCCCTTTGGTCCAGAGCTGCTTCCACCTCCCGTGAGCCTGTCCTGTGCGTTCCTCCCCTCCTTTCTCATTCTCTGTCTCCCAGTTCTCCTGTTCCACGGGATTCCTGCTTGATCCCGGGCCCCGTCTTGTTCATGAAAGAAGTTATTGGTTAAATTAGAGAGTGGTTTCTGGAGACACTGAGTGTTCAGCTGAGGAAAGGCCTAGTAGAAATCTAATAAGTAAATCAGAGGGATAAAAGCTCAAACAACAAGCAGGAGGATTTGGGGAAATGAGGAGCTGTAGTCCCAGGTACCTGAGCAAGTCAAAATTGACAGAGCAGCTTGAGCTCCTCTGGCCCTGAACGGAATTTAAGAAATTGGATTTTATACTCACCTGTGTTTGGGGAGGAACTACCCTCCCAAGTGCTGAGTCTTGAGGCTCTTGGTGGAAGCCCCTGGAACCTGCACTGCCATCATGTGATTTGAAGTGTCTGCTCAAACTCCAGGGTCATGGATGACTGGCAGGAAGGGAGAACCTTACAGAGACCCTGGCAAGCTCTGGCACAGAGACTCCCCTGGTCACTGCTTTGTGGAAATGGTACATGTTGGTGGACAGTGCATGGGCTTTGAGTTTGATCTAGATCCAGTCCTACCTGTCTCTAACTGTGTGCCTCAGACAATTATACCACCTCTCTGATCCTCGGGGTCTTTGTCGGTTCAACAGAGATAAATTCCAATCTTTGAGAGTGCTGAGGATAAAATGAAAAGCATCCTGCCATGTAGACACCTTCTCACAGACTGTCCTCAATACACGGAGGTCCCTTTCCATCTCAGAGTTGGCAAGCTCAGATGGGTACAACATGGGAGGCTGGAGTTTTTACATCTCCAAGGACACACCTGGCCCTTGAGAAAAAAATGAGTGGGATTTGTGCTTAGGTGGAGGTCCAGGTGCTCTTGGCCACACACATTCCAAGGCCTGTGCCGGCAGTGTGTACACACACGTGCTTACCCACACACCCCACATGCGGCCTGTGCCGGCAGTGTGTACACACACGTGCTTACCCACACACCCCACATGCTCTAACATGTCCACAGACAGGGACATGTCACACTCCCTATTCTCACTTTGTCTTCATATGTGAGCCCATATACACTACCACTAATGTGTGACACACCACCCATGTGGCAGTCCACACCAAGATCAGGATCATCCCCTTTCTGTTCCTAGACCCTTAAGTCAACAAATTCCCATTTCTGACAGCAAATTCCCATTTTTCCCTCCTTGTTCTTCATGAGATTCTGAAAAAGGACCAGTAAAGGAAGCTGAGGCCTCAGATGWGCAGAAGATCCAGGGGTCTCCTCCTGGGCTGCAAAAATCCCAAGCCCCAAATATCCCAGGAATGTTTCTCTTGGAGAAAAGAAGACATAGGCTAAACTTCTGGGTAGCTGAATGGAAGGATTGGTCTCATTCTGCATGGCCCTGCAGTGCAGATTTGGGACTAATTAGTTCAATTTGTGGGCCAAGAGAGGATCTATTTAAGCTCAATATAGAATAAATTTAAAATTATTTTAGCTCTCCAAGAATGAAAAGCACAGATTGGAAGGTAATGAGCTCCCTGTCTTTAGAAGGGTCCCAGGGAAAAACACATGACTATTTCTCATAGCTGCCATAGAGGGACCCCTGCACTGGGTGTGAGGGTAGGACTGAGTGACCTTGAGGCCCCCTTATGTGTGAAGAACTTAGAACTAGAAAGTTGTCACTCAATCCCTCTCCCTGAAATGCCCCCTGACAAGGATTGCCAGAACAATTTTTTGGATACTAGTTGCCAGCTAGGACCCAGATCCCACCCAGGTTAATGGACTCTCACGGGTCCAACAGGTGTCCCCGACCTACTTGCCAAGTAGGCATTCCCCAGGTTCTGCCTGCATCCTTGGCCATCGACCTGACCTACGTGCAGAAGCCCAGAGACTAAATCTGCTTCAGGTGACATTTTGATGAATTTAGATCCAAACTCACTCGGCTTATTGATCCCAGAGAAAAGGTTCATCCTTTAAAGACCACCCAACTGCATACTTAATCCATGTGCCACACACCAGGTCGATATGAAACACTGCCAAGACAAACATGTTGCTGAGACCTTTATTGAAAGAGGGCTCGTGACATTCTGTTTCTCTCTTCTTTCCATGCGATTGGGATCCCCCACTGACATGTGGAGAAGTGTCCCACAGAGACTGGCTGGCCACCACTCCTTTGCTTACTAACTGTGGGACTTGCACACCTAGTAAAACTCAGCTTCTCTGCACCTTCACTTTCTCATCGGAGAAGTAGGGAGATGACGCCTGCCTCTCCAGTTACAGGGTAGTGTAAGGCATCACCAAAAGTGTGTAATGGCCCCAAGCACTTGGCAGCTGCCCAGTGATGCTGGTCCCCTGTCCCTTCTGCATTCCAGCCCAGAGAACTTCACTGCTGCTCAGGAATCCTTTGTTCCTCAGCAGATTAAAAAGGGTCTTTTCAATATACCTCCAAAAACAAAGCACCAGGAAGACAGGAAACAAATGAATTAGCTCTCACATGTTTTACATCCAAACCAACTGACGTTACCAAGTCCCAGCCACAGGCCAAGGCATGGAGAGTGACACACGCCACCCCTTGAAGCAGGCATTAATGAGAGCATTTTGCAGATGGAGATACTGCAGCCGGAGCACATTAGAAACTTGTCCAAGCTCACAGGAAACTTCTCGCCAGAAAGTTATATGCATGAGGATAGATGCTGTCTAAAAGGGAAGCTCAGGAAAGCAAAAATTGTTGTCCATCCTGTTTGCCACCCATATCCATAGCCACTGACACAGTGAGCTCTCAACAAATGGTGAACGTAGGGATGGATTGGAAAAGCTCAAGGACCAAAATCAGAATTGCCTGGAAGGTTAAGGCCTACCCATGCCTGCGGCTGACTTGTGGCATATTTCTATGAAAAGGCAAGTAATGGTAGAGAAGGTGCAAGGTCAAAGAGCCCTGCTCAGAGTCCTGTTCTCAAACTACCAGAGAAGCTGCCAAATCTGAGCTCTTGCCCTGATTCCCATGATTTTGAAGGGACATGAGGTACCAAATCAAATGGTCACCTGTTGAATATCAAGGCAGATTGTCTCTTGA